TTGCCACGGTCTCCAACCCTCCTCCTTTCTCATCCGGGCTTGGGACCGGCCATGGCGGAGTTTTTATTTGTATTGAATTGTTTATATTATGAACCTAAAAAGATGGTTCAATTTCAATAGAAGTTTATCCACCTTGAGTAGTTGAGCTTGATGCATGGAAATTTATTTGATGAAAACATCCACCTGTTTGTTATATGAATAACAATTAACGATATTCAGTTTCAAAGCAGTGTTTCAAGCCAACCACTGAAAAGAATTATGCAAATTTCTTTATCACCGACACGTTTCTAAGCTGCATATTTGGTGCTATCACGAATGTCTATGTGCTATTTTTTTTTGGAGATGCACTAAATTATTTTCAATAGTTGCTGACATTTGTCATACGTAACTGCTCTTTGTACCTGCCGATCCTTTTCTTACTCTCTTATATGTCGTGCTCTAATCGCTGGCCCGTAAATTAAGCTGGGCTTCTGTAATATACTGCTTCTCTAATGTACTATACTGGTTTTCTTTATCATGCATATGGTTCTACGCATTCATTTTTTTGCTGGACCTTTTTTTGATTTATTTTATACGGTCATCTTTTGCAGAAGTAGTAACAGACAAACTCCTACTCACTTCGCGCTGGTTTGTTCCGCCGGTCTGCTGTCTATTATTTTGGATAATTTAGAGTTCAAATTGACAACCATACTTATTTTCATATTTTAATCATTATGAGTTTCTACTTGCAAAATTTTGAGGTTCCTTGAGCCGGGAACGAGGTTACTAAATTCAAAGAGTTGAAGAGGCGATTGCTTGCCTTTCAGAGTAATCAGCCAGCATCATGTCTGTCCGATTCACAACGAAGAATTAATGGATATTTCAAACAAAATGAGGCTTAAACGCCGTTATTAGGCTTCGAATTTTCAACTTTTTATCCCTTGGTTTGCTGCATCTCACTTAAAGGTAAGGTGTTTTCACAGATGTTCAGAATGAGAAGTCGTATGAAGGTCATGCAATATTGACTACTAATTTGCAGTTCATACAATGTTTACTGTATTTCTAATTGCCTTGTGATATATATGTGCAGAAAAGTGCACTATTGGGTGTCTTATCAAGATTAGAACGTTTACGAATTACTGAAGAAAATATATAAAAGTCTTCTGTTTCAGTCTGTGATTCTTTTATGCCGTGACTTTTCCATTATCCATAACAAATGTATAGTTTGTTTTAACTTTTAGTTATTCCGTATTTTTATGTTGTGATTTTGTTTTGATTCTTTCATTTAGTCGGCCATGAGGTCTTCTATCAAGTTTCGAGAACGGTGAATTGACGATGGCTGCTAATCGAGTGTTCCTGAAGACAGTGATGAAGATGCGGCTGCATCCCAAAACACCGCAAAAGTATACATATAGCCTAAGTTGTTGTAGGAATATGCTATAGTATTTTAGGTTTATGGCTAGAGACTACCGTGCTGCGGTACTCAGAGACTTTAGCAAGCCATTAATTGTGGAGGAAAACAAGGACCCCCATT